CACCCACACTTACTCGTCAGTAAGGTAGCATCGACGGTAACTAGCACTCTCCCACAACACACAGCTTATACGGTAACATAACAGTATAAGGCACTAGTTCATAACCTGGCCCCACTAGGTCTACCCATGAAACCTCTCGATACAAATGACATCAATGCCAAAAATGATCAATACCAAAAGCACCACAGAGGCCAGACATTTTGTGAGAGTTGAGGTATAGTCCAAGGACGTCCGGCCGAACCATCCTGGCCAATCCCAAACTCTGACAATAATGCCATAGGTACCGCTACGCTTGAGGCCTTAAATCCTCAATACAACCAAGCTGACAACTCCAGTGTTTCAAAATACTTCCATAACAACATCAATCAAGAGTCCCAATCCTGAAAAACAAGTCAAAACATCCAAAAACCAAAATGAATCTCATTACAAGACATTTCATCGAAAGCCCTACATATCTCCCTGAAACAGATCAACTATAAGACTACACCGAAGTCAAACATCGGATTCACATCCCTATCACGGAAACTAGATCCTCGAAATACAAGTCCACCAAGTGGCACACATATCAAAATTTTGACAACAATCAAAATCACATATTACATGTGCGTGCATATTCTTTTTAGCTTAGAAGTGCATTTGGGGTCAAATATATGCTTGGTGCAAAGTTACATTTTCACCGTTTTGAGCCTAAATTGATTTAAGGGCAATTTGGGGATTTTCTTTGGGAAATAAATTCCGTTCTCAACTTCGTCACATAGAAAATATGATTTTAGGGGGAGTTTCCTTTTCATGTTTTTCCGAAAAATGTCATCTTGACTTCATAGACCGCGCTCCAAACTCAAAAATCTGCTAAGAACATTGTTCCTGCAATTTTTGAGGTTCCAGACCACCCCCCTGCCTCATTTGGCGGGCCCCCATAGTGTTCTGGCGGGTGCCATTGAGAATCTTCCTTATTTGGCGGGCCCCCGCGGGTTTTGGGCGGGCGCTCATGAACACTGTTCTTGCTCCAGACATTTTTTTTCAACGAGTCATATCTCACTCGTTTTAACTCCGAATTGGTCCGTTCTTGAGTCTAAACTGACCGCGTCGAAATAAGCTTTCCAATGGTACCAATTAGAGCATCAGATTCCATTTTTAGCTTAATTTATTCAAGTTTTAGTGAAGTAGTGTCAAGATTTGGTTCGAACTGGGATAGGGTTTCCCTTCCTTCGACTTCAGGACTTGATATCTTTTCTGCTCGGACTCCGAATCAGATGATTCTTGAGTCTAACTTCATTAATTTTTTGTTTTCTTTCCAATGGTACCAGTTTTAGTTTCATAATTTTCTTATAGCTCAAGATATCCTTATTTTAGTGAGAGGGTGTCAGATTTGGTTTGAATCGGGATATGGTTCATCTGGGATTTCTCTTCCTTTGGCCTTGGGACTTCATGTGAAGTTACCAAAGGGTGTTTTAGGATGTTTTAGATCTAATTTGACTTGTTGAAAGTTAAATTCCGTTCTCTTAGGGTAAAATGACCATTTTACCCCTGACTCTTCTCTTATAGGGTTTTGATGCCCTTCTCATCATTTTGTTTCCGTTGAGTTTCGAAACTCTTTGAGAGTCCATTCTTGTGCCCTAAGGATGACGTACATCCCTAAGGACTTGTCCTTGTCTTGCTTCTGCACTTTATTCATTTGAATTCCGTGGCTTCATAGGGAGTCATCGTGGCACCTAGGGATGGCGTACATCTCTTGAGCCCCTTTTGCTTCTTTTGCTTCCGCATCTTAGATCTGGTTCGGGTCATCACAGGACACACTGGGTTGAAAAATCCAGGGTCGTTACAAATACCAGGTCTTTGTGACAAACCTTAAGCTACCAGTCGAGCTTTGTATCTCACGATTTCATTTTTCTCATTTCGCTTTCGTACAAACACCCATTTGTACCCAACAAGATTAACACCCTCTGGTGTCCGGACTACTGATCCAAATACTTCACGTTTAGCTAATGAATTTAGCTCTGTTTGTATCGTTTCTTTCCATTTTGGCCAATCATTTCTTCATCGATATTCTTCGACGTTTTGAGGTTTCGGATCTTCATTATCAATATCAAGAGCAACGACATATGAGAATATGTTGTCGACAACAATTTCATTTCTATTCCACCTCATTTCATATTTAGTGAGATCTCATCATTTTCAGGTACCTTTGTCTCATCAAGTGCATGTGACTCATCAAGGGCCATATCATCATATGTTGCTTTTGTCTCATCAATATTTATTATTTCATCATTTTTAGGTACCTGAGACTCATCGAGAGCCTCTGCCTTATCAAAGGATATTATCTTAGATTGATCAATAATATTTGTTACTCCTTTTGTAGCCTCTTCAGGAGTACTGACTTTTCTTTGTGATTTCCTCTTACGAGGAACAATATCTTTTGCACCGACTGGTCTACCACGCTTCAGGCGTGTTTTAGATGCATTTGCTGCACTACTGACAGTAGGTCCCTCAGGGACAGCAATTCGTGCTGGAATATTTGCAGCTGGTATATGTGATTTTATTATTATTTTTGTATCAGTAAATGCATCGGGTAATTGATTTGCAATATTTTGCAAGTGAATGATCATCTGAACTTCTCGTTCATATTAATTTGTACGAGGATCAAAATGAGACAATTTCAGGGCATTCCAAGTAATATCATGTTGCTGCTGTGCTTTTTCTCCCCCTAATGGTTGGAAAACAATCTCATCAAAATGATAGTCAGCAAATCGTGCTTTAAAGACATCATCTCTCAGGGGTTCAAGATATCTAATAATAGATGAAGAATCAAAACCAACATAAATTCCAAATCTACGTTGAGGACCCATTTTAGTACGTTAGGGTGGTGCAATTGGAACATGTACAGCACAACCAAAAACTCGTATGTAAGAGATATTTGGTTGTTAACCAAAAACAAGTTGCAATGGTGAGTACTTATGATAAGCAGTTAGTCGTATACGAACTAATGATGCAGCATGTAATATGGCATGTCCCCAAACAGAAACAGATAATTTTGTTCGCATAAGCAAAAGATGACCAATTAACTGAAGTCTTTTAATAAAATATTCGGCCATACTATTTTGAGTATGAGTGTGTGCAATAGGATATTCTTTCAAAATTTTGATCTCTTTTTTTAACACTGGGCTGGGGAGCTCGAGAAGTAATACCAAAACCTTTCTTTTTTCGGTATGCCGCTCCACGAGCAAGGAATGCCGCGCACGAGCGGAACGAAAACAAAGCAAGAGGAATTCTTCAACATTAATTTCAATTGACATACAATAATCATCAAAAGCTTGAGAAGAAAATTCAGCGGCATTATCAAGACGGATTGTCTTAATTGGGTAATCAGGAAAATGTGCCCGTAATTTGATGATTTGAGGAAGAATTCTAGCAAATGCAACATTACGAGAAGAAAGTAGACAAACATGTGACCATTGTGTTGAAGCATCAATTAATACCATAAAATAGCGAAATGGTCCACAAAGTGGATAAATTGGCTCACATATATCCCCGTGAATTCGTTGTAAAAATGGAAAAAATTTAACAATGACTTTTGAAGGGGATGGTCTGATAATCAACTTACCTTGTGAGCAGGCGATGCATAGATGATTATTAGGTAAGATGATTTTTTGATCCTTCAGTGGGTGTCCATGTGAATTTTCAATAATTCGATGCATCATTGTACTCCTCGAGTGACCAAGTCGATCATGCCAAAGTATAAAAAGTTTTGGGTCATAAGATTTTTTATATATCACAACATTAGACTTAATTGTCTTAATGGTTGTATAGTATAACCCAAAAAAGAAAACATGGGGTTTTTCTAATATCTCCTTCTTGCATGAGGTAATTGAAGTAATGTAGAGATATTCCACATTTCTTTCATTTGCGGTCTCAATTTGATACCCATTACGACGCAAGTCTTTAAAACTCAACAGATTTCTCCGAGATCTTTAGAATATAAGGCATCATTGATTTGTAATCTTGTTTCATGTGGTAAAATGATGTTGGCTTGTCCGGAGCATTCAATCAAATCGGTGGGACCTAATATTGTACTGACACTAGCGTCTATCAGAGTTAGGTGAGAAATTTTTTTTATCTCGAAGGATTATATGTGTTGTTCCACTATTTGCAAAACATATGTCTTCACCATTTATTTTGGAACTAGTCAGATCCATTCCTATTCATGCAAATTTCTTTATCAGAAAAGAAACATTTATAACAAAAGAAACTTTAATACAAACTAGAAGATAAAAACTTGAATACAAGGAAAATAAAAGCATTGTAGACAGAACATGAAAAGAAAATAGGATTAATTGGTATGGAGATTTCCATCACCAATCAGAAACTCTATCTTTCTATCACGGTCCTCAAAAAAATTTGATACATCCAGATTTGTGATGTCAACTGGCTCATCATGATTAATGACTTTCATTTCCAAATTTGTGATGTCAACTGGCTCATCATAATCAATAAAATTCACTTTTTTTTGTTTCCCCTTTTTTTTTATTGAGGCAGTTTAGCCAGATGCTTAGGTGTACAACAATTGTTTTGCCAATGCCCTGTCATGCCACACCGATAACAAGTATTATCATGTGCCTTAGGAGGTTGAGCCACATCATTCCCCTTTACTTGTTTCATTTTATTATAATCTCTCTTTTAGGAATATAGTGTGGATCTCTGACTGCGAAAATGTGAGGATTGATATCCTTCACGATAATAAGAATGATTTCTACCAAGACCATATTCATTATTGTGGTAGTTATTTTTACCATGACCATATTCATTATTATAGCCATTTCTACCACCACAACCACGTCCACATCCGCGTCCACAACTACGGGATGAGGTAACATATGTTTCAGGGATCGGTGTCGATCCAGTTAGACGAGACTGGTGGTTTCTTAACAAAAGCTCATTCTTTTGTTCTGCCACAAGTAAACATGATATCAGCTCTGAATATTTTTTAAACTACGCTCTCGATATTATTGTTGTAAGAGCACATTCGAGGCGTGAAATGTGGTGAATGTTTTTTCTAGCAAAAGATCATCAGTAATGGTATCACCACATAATTTCAATGTAGAGCTGATTTTAAATAGGACAGAGTTATATTCAGCCACAGCTTTAAAATCTTGCAACCGCAGTTGCTGCCAATCAGCCCGGGCCTTTGGGAGGATAACTATTTTTTGATGATCATATCTTTCTTTCAAATTGTTCCACAAACACAGTGGATCACTTTCAGTGAGGTATTCAGTTTTTAACTCCTCACTAATATGGCGCCGAAGGAAAATCATAGCATTCGCTTTATCTTGTAATAATGCATCATTCTCTTCTTTAATTGTGTTTCCAAGCCCCATGGCATCTAAATGGATCTTAGCATCCAGAATCCAAGATAAATAATTTTTGCCAGAAATATCCAAGGCCACGAATTCTAGCTTTGTCAAGTTTGACATTTTCAGAATAACTAGATGTGACAATATAAAAATATAATTTAGAATAATATATAAATAAATAAAATGACATTAAATGAAATAATAACATAATATGAATTATTTCAATAACAAAGGTGGTAAAACCAGCCATAGTGAATAAATTATTAAACAATAAAAACGGTAAAACTGTTTATGAATCATTAAATAATGAATGTGGTAAGATTGATCATAATTAGTAGATCATTAAATAATAAAGGTGTTAGAACCGACCAAAGTGTAAGCACATATATCATTTAAGTGAATAAATTTATTTTATGAACAATAATCCATAATTAAAATTTTCTTACCCTTTGGAGTCAGAAATACTATTTTTTTCAATAAAGCAAACCAACCCAACAATCTATCAACTAATATTACAAAATAGATATATAGTTGGGATAAAAAGAGGAAGAGAAAGATTCTTCTTCAAATCTCAGATGGATAGAGTTTGTACTGATAACGTGTAATAAATATATGTGTAAAGATATATATATATATATAGTGTAATATTTATTTGAGAGATGAAAAGAAAACATTCAGATAGAGAGAGAGAGAACGAAAAAGAGAGAGATACAGAGTGAAAAGCTTTTTTTTCAAGTCTTGTATCTATCAAAGCAGTTCATGCACATTGCCTTATATAGCTCAGTTTTTTAGCTTCCTTTATAAGCCATAGTAAGGCTTTCAATGTAAGCAAAGAATTGAGTTTCCTCTCCACGCCAAGAATGGATGACATAAAATATTGTGGGCCCCACAAACATATGTATATAACACGGATACATTTCTTCTGATAAATTTTATATTAAAAGGGACAAGTATGACCAAATCACTTGAAATATTTTCAATAAAAAATAGTTACAAAAATAGGATTTTTGAGAGATGACCTTAATTTTTGGATCCGTAGTTGAGATACCTCTCGGATCAGAGACGCGGGTTGATCAGGTCCGGCCCAAACCCGAGGGAAGTATCAAACAATTAAAGTATTTTAAATCAAACACAGAATAGAAATTTAAGAATTTAAATAAAGAAATCCAAGAGAAAAATAAAATCCTTCAACGATAAATAATATCAATTTAATCCTCCAAAACCTTCAAGGTTACAACTTGGGAATCCAAACAGTGGACCCCTAAAGAAAATCTCAACTGAACTGAAACTAAAAACATCAAGCTAGAAGTATCGAGAGAAATCCTACGTAAGCAGATGAACGTGAGACTGTCCCCAACAAGCACGATCAAGCTCTAAGGCTGGAATTGACCTGCACCTGAAAAATAATAGAAGAGTGGGTCAGGCCCACGAACAAGTTCTAATCTAACTGCGATCCAAACGGTGACCCGATACGCAGATACACCCTAGATATCCCAACAATATCTAATTAGTCCATACATATATATATATTCACACTAAAGGACATTCACTAGACTATAATAGGGGTCTCAACCTGAACAGAAGGTAACATGCGAAAACGCACCCAAGGGTGGGCATGAGTACCTAGACCTAACAGGGTACACCTCAACCTACTATAGTCAGCTACGCATCCATTGCATATACGCACCCTAACCAACGAGTATGAATCTCAAGCTCATCTCGTGGTACCATACACATATATCTAAATTCCGTCCCAAAACCAGGTATGCCATTCAATTACTTATTGAACGGACACACTTTATACAAACTAGTTAGTCACTCAACTTATTTACAGTTGATATGACCCACCACAATCCACTAATCCAGGAAGTCACCCAACTTAGTTGCAGTTGATCTGACTTAGTCAGAAATAGGATTCAATATCTTTCAATCCATTCCTTTAGTCCATTAGGTTAGGTTTATGAGTTTTGAGCTAAACCATCCCTAGTATGTCACCGTCCCATACTGGTACATACAATCCTCCACATCCGTGTAAATTACAACATATATACCAGTTTAGTAATTTACAGTCCAAGACTATTTCCAAAAGAATTGCCGAAAAATAATTAATATTTCAACAACTAAAACCAAGCATTAATCCATTTAAAGTTTAATATTCCAACAACCACCTCCAAAACCATAATCCAATTCCAAACCAAAAATCCAGTTAATTACTTAACAGTGTGTAATATTACAGCAATTAATTCATGTACCACTCCGTTCAAAACCATGCAACTACAGATTTATAACAGAGTAGTTTAGCAACCAAAATCTGAAACATGCCTAGGATCAAGTCTGTTCACTAAAAGACCCTAATGTCCATTTAAACCAGTTTTAAATTTATGCTACACTCATTAAATCACTAATTTAGAAATAAGTAATTTAAATCTTTTCCATCCATTATTCACATTCAAAAAGGTTTAAATACGTATTATGCATTCGACTTGTCTACCTGTATAAACCATGCACTGAGAACCCTTAAGAACACCCAAGTGACATGTTAAACTCCTCCATTTACTTCCAACTCAGTCCCAGACTCACAACCCTCCAACAGTAGCAAGTAATTCGTAATAAAAAAAAAAATCAAAAATCAAATTCCAAGAGAGCCTGCTCAATTTTTGGAAAGAGCAGGCTCTTTTAGAGCTTTGAGCCGGCTCTTTTACCCCATGGAGCCGACTCTTTACCTAGAAAAGAGGAGGGAGCCGGCTCCCTCCATCCATGGAGCCTTCTCCTTTGCCTCTTTTGTATTACCAATGCTAGTTCACTCTCTGCTTGAATTTTGCTTCATTATGTCCGTGTATTCTTTCCCCGATTAATTCCTAGCCCTCTGTTGGTTACTTAGAGTGATCTTAGAGGTTCAATACTATCCTAATATCATCCCCCAAGCTTGATTACAGCAATTTAAATTAATTAAAAGAAGTAAATTTGCTACGGAACTAAACATGTTTCTATGCAAAAACTGAAACCTCATGCATGGATTACAACGAAGCAAAATGCAACAGAGATCTAAAACAGAAATAGCAACCTTCTTATGAGATTTACATAACTCCTGTAGTCTTTTCATACTTAGTTTACAGTAGTTGCAATCAAAAACAGAGACAAAAACTACGACAAAAACCCTCATGCTTAAAGGACATAAAACTGAACCAACTTGCATGCACTGTAACAGATATTGCAGAAATCATCACAGAAATAATTCAAAGCATACATATGATTAATTTGATGTATAACATACATGAATGATTTAGTTGTTAATTTCCTTAAAACCCTAGAGCATATCTAAGTGCACAGAACACGGCTCAAAGGGAAAGAGGAAGATAGAACTTGCCTGAATAGGTTTGCAAACAAACCCTTGTTGCCGTTGGTCTCAGTTTTTCGACATCCACTGAAACTTGTCTAACCTCCTAGAACCTCTGCTCTTTCCTTCTCCTTGGTTAAACCTTGGAACCCCAGTCGAAATTCTCACAAACTGCTCTGTTCTCACCAAAACTCCCTCTGTAACTCTCTCTATTTGGCAGACTTTTCCGTGTAAAAGCTACGACAATATGTAACCCTAGGTTTAACATATACTGAGGTATTTATAATTGCAAGATTAAAACCCTAATCCACAGAGCCCTAACTTCGTCGGCCCACAAAGTAACCCAGTTTAGATACATATCAGATGCCTATGAGACGGCTCCAAAAACCCTAACTAAAACGTATCTCAAAACCCTAGTTAATGGGAATTACAAAATTACCCTGTTCAAAAATTAAATACTTAATAAATAATTAATTAATAAAAACCATTAATTAAATCAAATAAGCAAGCAACGAATCACTTAAAACATATAAAATAAATAATCAAGCAACGAATCAATTACAACACATAAAACGCAAATAAAGAATAAACTGCAATTAAAGAATAATTTAAATAATAAATCAACTAATGCACATAAAAAATAAAAATAAAAATCCAATTTAAACAATAAATTAAATACCAGGACTATCATTTTGAAATTAGGGGTATTACAGTAGTGATACACACTCCTCTTGTTTGGCTACTTTGACTAACAGTGGAGTCTTCTAGTAGTTATTTCTACTACTGTGGATGAGATTTACTTTTTTATTGCCACTATATCATCTTCTTGTTCCATAAAATATTATAGTTTCGTTTATTTCTCATGTTTTAATTACAATTTGCACTATTAAAATTCTAACTTTGTTGTTGCAAAACAAATAAATTAAAGAAATTAAGTTTTTCAAGTTAATTGAATTAGATAATTTATTTTTAATGATAGAATTGAATTTCAAAAAAATAAATATAAAAGGACAGAAGCATAATAAAAATAGAAACATTACATATATTATTCTGTTTATTATATCATTTAATCAGTTTAACTTGCAAGTGTTGTGTTGTTCCAGTGGTTGAGTTACTGCATGTATTTAGGAGCCATACGAGTTCAAGCCCTGTATTGAACCAGGGGGGGCGGCGGGGGCGATGGCCGTTCCTACACACCAAATTGATGTAGTGAATGTGCGGTTCAAGAAAAGTCTTTTGGGTCAAGTTTAAATTTATAAAAACCACTAATACTAAGGGACTGTGAGGATCGAGCAATGTCGTGGAATCACAATTAGGGTTAGTAGGTCGAGTGATCAAACAATTGGTTGGTTGGTTGATTAAAGAGCAATTAAATTAAACTAAGTGATAACAAAAGAATGCAATTAAGAGTAAGTAAGAGAGAGAGAGATCTTGGGGTTTAGAAATCATCACCAAGCAATGCATTTCTATATCATTGACAAGTGATTAATGAGGACAAATGGTGTGTGTTGCAATATTGGTGTGTGTGTGTTTGGTTGATTCAACAAGCAAGGATGACTAGTTAAGCGTGTATTATCTAAACATCATGTGAAAGGCACAATATATCTAAGCAATGAAGTACATATTGTCTAAATAACATGTGAAAGGCACAATAAATCAAAACAAGTCATTAATCATTTCATTAAGTTCACAATCCAAATACAACACAAGGTTAGAGACATATGCTACTTGCATTCAAAAGCTTGGATCATCAAACAACAAGCATAGATTGTCCTCCCATTTA